CAAATTGGCATAGTGTCAAACTGTGTGTATTGTGAGCTGCATAAGTTTGTTCGGTTCTTTTTAAAATTCAGGATAGGGTACATTTATAAAGGCAACTTTTATTATAATATTTAAGTTATTTATTAACAGTCAGGTACTTCTATGAAAACTAATTCTTTCAACGAAGTTAAAAGTTCGTTTAATTTGAAAGACAGTTCAACGCAGCCATGAAACTAGCCGTAAGATGTGTATAATTTAGTTAAAATTGTAACTGAACATTTTTGTGGCAAATGAAATTATTCAATCCAAACTCAAGAGAAATGGGTTTTATTAAGGACAAAAAGTTGTAGTTGTTCAACGTTTGGTAGTAAAATATTAACAACAATTTTAGAACAGTCCTTTCAAAAACATATTAAAGAATTACGATGATAGAGTAAATAAAAATTTTCAGTGTGTACTCTTATTTATCTATTTAATTTGAAATAGAGTTGTTAAATATTGAAAAATACTTAAATCTAAAGGTGACTTTCCTTTAAATTATGTTTAAAAGATATGGCTGTACACATAGTAGTCGCTGTTTTCAACCTTCTTTAAGGTCCTCCGAAAATTTATTCGAATGTTGTCAGTGTTCGCAACTCTATTAATTTCTTTAACTTTAAATACGGTTTGTTAAAAGCTTCACAACTCTTTTTATACATAATTTTAGATACAGTTTGTTAAATATTAAAATTACCCAAATCTGTGAAGTGAATGTCCTTTAACGTGAGTTTGAAAGATACAACTGTGTAAAATTGCCTGCATAAAATATTAGCAGAAGTTCAAACCGTTGATAATACAGAGAGCAAACCAGTATGTCCACCTATCGGCACATAAGAGAAATGCAAACTCTAAAATCTTGCGAGAGCACACACCCGCAAGGGGTGAAGGGGGAATAAGCAGCATGCTCTTGTAAAGTAACCTACATCATTAATATTATTATGACATTCTTTTCTTTGGAAAAATACTAACCACGTGTACATAACAATATTAACAATAAGTAAAATGAAACTGGGTGGTGATTTTGAAACTCATTTCGACTCGAAAAGGGTTTCGATACTACCATTTTTAGTGGAAATACGCCTCGACTCGATCTGCTGGTAAGATCATTAGAACAGGTTTACTCATTCTCGATAAATGATCTTTAATTTAGGCCGAATGATTTTTTTGTCACAAATGCATATTTCATGACTACATATTCCCCAGGATATATGACTATTACTGCTACTGACGTAATTTGGGCCAAACGAAAATTAGGTAAAAAAGAATTGGTCGAAGGTTATTTCGACAGTACTCCCCCCGCTCCTGAAGCACAATAAAACAAATCCAGCTTATCCGAAAAATTATAAAATTTAATTCTTCGAATTTTATTATTTTATGAGAATACTTAGAAGTAAAATAATGATATGTATGTAACATTAAAGTAAATGTAAAGAAGCGTGCTGAGTGTACGTTTCAAATGAGTTTTCCCTTAACAAAATTTTGTGATTGCGTTATTAACATTTTTGCAAAGACAGGCATATTACTTTGGATAGGTGCAGTGTAATACTAATGAGAATATAATTCATGTATCACATGACCTCATTTCTTCCAATAGAATTTGTTCATGCCCTTAGTTACATGTCTATTACAGCGATAATAATTTTATTGCCTTATTGTGGTCTGTTGCTACCTAAATTTAAAAACTGTCAAATTGACAAATTTTAGAATTTCATAAATTTGTTTGTCTTTTATGGCTTGCCAACGTTGAGGGCAAGCTCAAAACGACGAAATCAATTCTATTATCAAAAAATGTGTTCATTTATTATATTCTCATGTTGAATATAACTCGTGATATGATTAATAATCGAAGATATGGCTCGTGAAACCGAAGCAGCACATTCAACTCGTGCTTCGCACTCGTTGAATCTGCAGCTCGGTTTCACTCGAAATATTATCGATAATAATCATATCACTTGTTATATTATAATTGATAACAGTATTGTATATTCCCAAATTTTCGGGAAAATGGAGTAAGCCGTTCCTGATTTAACCAATAAAATAAATTGACTCATTTATTCATTTTATGAGTCACTCTGTATAAGCAATTGAAAAACTCTTAATGCAGTGATAAATCACAAGTATAGACTCATCATGTTTTGCACATTTTGGATGCGATTTATTCGGTAAAATTTTGAGATCAATTTTGGGGGGGGGGGATAAACAGATATTTTTCATTAAAAATTTACCATATTTACAATAAATTTAAAACGTTTACAAGATTTCAAAGCATTCGGATGTGCTGTTCCCAATTTAATCAAAAAAATAAATTGACTCACTCATTAATTTTTTTGGGTCACCATGTATAGGTAATTCTAAAGCTACGAGTGCGTTGATAAACTACAAGTATAGCATTATAATATTTTGCATATTTCAGGGAGGATTTATTCGGCAAAATTTTGAGATGCCGTCATTATTTTTTTTGAAGGGAATAAACAAATAAATTTTGCTTAACGATTTACCATAATTACGATAACCTTGAAATGCTTGCAAGATTTCAGAACATTCGGCTTTCCAGTTTCAAAGTTATTATCGGGCATCCCTCAAATAAACTGCATTGTTTAATACGTGTTAACGAAGGTGGATGCAAACATTACTTAAACTGAAGACATTTTCATAAGCAGTCCACCAGAAATTAATTTAGGCAGCGGAAACAGCAACTGTAAGTACGGCAAACGATTCCTTTTCGGAAGACGTTTTGTTCGCGTATTTTCGAAACGTGGATACCTAATTATTGTTTTCATTTGAAGTTGTAGAAAAAACATAGTAAGTATATCACACGTTTATAAACTTCTCTAGATCCTCGTGTTTTTAAACACTCGCTCCGTTCATGATTAAATATACTCATGTCTAAAAAGGCGTTTATAAAACTTGCTACACGTTTCATAACTTCTCACTCGATTTTTAAATAGTTCGTTAGTAGCACTCTCTAAACATTGATCCATGTTGACAAAAAGGGCTTTGAAAGTTGTCATCAGTTACACTAATATAGTCATGGACTCGAAACTGAGGATGTATTCTATGTTTACTTTGTAGAAGTATCACATTTATGTATCATTTTCTTACAGCCTAATTTTTTCTTACAGATCTAATATTTTTTTATATCCAGAATGTGAACATTATTATTTATTCTCGAAATGTGCCGCTCTAGAACGAAGCGTTTCCAACACCACCTTATTTTGATTTTGATCATATTTAATGTGTGCCTGTTGTGTTTATTTCATATGTGCTTTGTTTTATGTTATGCGGGGATTTGCTCCACGATCCCATCACGAACCCTGATGAACTCATTTTGACTTAATCAATTACTTCACTTAATGAACAATTTAGCATCGTGTAAATTTTGTGTCGTTTCTTACTATAATGTGACGTATTGAAGATTTGCTTCATTTGTTAGATAATCATCAGTGTACTTTGAGAGTACGTACAAATTTCAAATTAATATGGCCAGAAGTATAAAGAAATGTCGGCGCGGATAATTCTCTGCGGCCTTCTCTACTTAACAAATATAGGGACTTCTTTTTATTACCAATAATAATTAAATGAACGATTTGAAGTTCATCTGTTAATAGTATGGAGAATTTTTGCAGAAGTTATCTAGAATTTTTCCAAATTCTGTTCCGAACTGAAATACCCACTCACTGGCACTACTGGTAGTCCTCGAAAAACGTGAATAATGTGATCATACCTTGTCCTGCGCGGATATTGTAGCTCGTGAATCTCGAGACCATGATTGAACTGCGGATGGTCTTTGGTTTTTTGTTCATATTTAAATTTGTCACTACACCATGGCATCGTAATAACTTGACTCCAGTTATTTTAAATAATATTTATCTTTTTTGTGTGTGACATTCAAATATGCGTATCGATTTGTAACATTTGATTTTGGAAAGCTAGGGAGGCTTTTGCAGCTGGGTGAATAAGTGCTTTGCGGCTTATTTCACAGCTTTTCCTTTCCCAGAACGGAGGAATAAACGACTTGCCTTCCACATTTTGCATTTTGATTTCAGGTCACTTTTCCACCCTTGACGTTCACCACTTTGCATATGAACGCATCCCAGCGTTAGAAACACACACACACACAATGTGGGGTCCCATTTTGTTGACCACTACAACGCAAGGCCAAATTCCGAATTTTTCGCAGGTTTTATACTTTTATGCATTTTGGTAGGATGTTTGGGTTATCACAATATCAATTTAACTGATGATCACCTATTTTGTACAATTGACAAAATTGCGTCGTCGCCATTTTGGGAATGCCACGGTTATCATTGTTATCAATTTCAATTTTACCAAACTATCGGGAAAAAAACTGCACTAATTTCATTCGTTGAGGGGAACCGTGGCATCTAAAGTACTTTATTTTTGTTTAAACAATTGTTCTTTGGTAATACAAACAAAATTTAAACATATCCTCATTTTAACGTCAGTCGCACCACAAAACGAGAAGGTCAAGGAACTTTCTGGTTGCCATACGTCCTAAATTCCTCTACTAATCTAATAAGGGTGACATTCCGCTAAAACCCTAAATGTGCTAAAACAGGTGACTGCCTACATTATTGTTGAAACGATTTTTATTTTTCAGATGCGATTTCGCAAAAGTTTACTTTGTTGGCGCGAAATTTAATTTTTAAATCAGGATACCACACTTAAAAAAAATTGTGCTTCCTTGTTATTACAGTACTTGAATCAAATTGTATTAGTTAAAGTGAATTTTGATTTTTATTGTATCTACCTATGGAGCCTTTAATATCTATAATACTTTTTATTTTGCCTTCAACGTTTTTAACAGACTATAAATTGAAACTCGATAAATGTACACTTTAGAAGGAAATTACTCAACAATTTAAAGTTAAATGTATGAACAATCCGCATATTACATGCACATTCTATTGAAATTTAAAGGATAAAAAGCTGACGTATAAATTTTTTAAAGAGGACGCATATAAACAGAAAATGCTTTATTGTAACAATGAAGCTACACTAAATCAAAACAAATTCATTCAAACATAATACCTACAATTAACCTTTCAAAAAGAAATACAGTTTATAATGCATTAAATGTATGGATCACAGTTGTAAGGTACAAATACCTAAAATCGCACAAAAATACCAAGTATTAGGCCACAAATATTAAAATCGTAGATGCCAAGAATGTCCAATAATCAGAATGGAATCTTAAATATATACCTACTTTTCCCAAATGCCTACATATTTGTTACTTCTTTCCTAAAATGTCTGCCACAACCAACATAGCTATTGTTCCAAACACAAATAAACCTCCTGGTAATGAAGTCCTGAGCGTCTCATCTGCACAGAAAAAAATAGATAAATTGTGCTAAAATAAACAGCATGCCTGTCAGGTAGCATGCTATTAAAGGTAATAACATTAACACTATAGTGTACATAAAAATTAAAGCGGATGAACCGTACGCTTCACATTTTTGCACAATGCAATGAAAGCATCATTCCACTTCTGATGTTTAAACAATTGACTATATTGTTAGATTGCGGTAACTAAGAAATAAAAATGTATACAGAGCGACCAGAAACTGTGGAATAAACTGTAAAACGATCAAATAGGTTAACAGATAGTTATTTGGAAGCTTTTATTGATATTTGTGATTAGTAATGATGTCAGCAAGCTTTTGAAATAATAGCAGCCACTTTTTACCACTACTAAGAGATCTTGTAAATGTCTAAATAACTGTTGATTTTTCATTAATGTTCGACATATTTCATCTTCAAAAGTTTATCAAAATATTTAAAAAATGAGAGTTCCTTTTAAAACAATTAATAACAACGTTGTCACTCAAATACATGCATTTACAAAAATTATTCAAGTGGCCAAACATTGTTCCGAAAAATGAGTAGTTTTGATTTAAATCAATATCATTCCATAATTTTTGACCTCTGTGGATAAAAATGAAACATTAAGTTCATATGCGACATTAATGCATGTACAGACATAGACGTCACAATGGAGTTCTCTAATAAATGCACTGACCAGTGAAATGATAGCATTCTCAGTGATACAATTAAATACCTGAAATAGAGGTTTCAGCGTCTGACAATTCTGTTGAAAAAAAAACTCGTTTTGTAAATAAAAATTAAAAATTTAAACAACTTTGTAGACTTACCTGCAAGACCGTCACTATCCACTTCATCTTCTGCCCACCCTAGACTCCTAGAAATTGCCATTTTCCAGCGGGCATACCTGATATCCCTCTCTGCAACTTACTTTTAAGAAACGTTTAAGAAAGAATAATCATGCTCACGATCATCTGTTATGGAAGGTAAAAATGTATCACTAGGTACTGGTTGAATATTATCCAAGTCCCAAACTTCAACACCTTTTGCATTTCCAGCAGCTATTGCAGCTCCCAAACAAGTAGTTTCCGCCATTGTAGGCCTTACTAACAGTAAATAATTACATTTTATTGTCATTCAAACATACTTATTCATTACCCACAGGAATTCCACAATAATCTGCTTGCATTTGCATCAAAAAATCGTTAGCTGTCATACCCCCATCAACCAATAATTTTGACAAAGAGTAACCGCAATCTAATGCCATAGCTTCTAAAATGTCTCTCACTTGGTAACAAACTGCTTCTAAGGCTGCTTTCACCAAATGCTCTGGTTTCGTTTCTTCAGTGAGACCACATATAACACTACAAAATATATTTATTATATGTTTTTGAAATGGCATTCACAACCTTCTAGCATCTTTTCTCCAGTAGGGTGCATAAAGACCTGAAAAAGCTGGTACAAAATAAACTTCACCCACTTCATCTGCTGACGCCGCCATCTCCCCTGAGTGTTTTGAGTCTTTTAAAATCTTTAAGTTATCTTCGAGCCACTTTATAGCAATTCCTAAAAAAAAAAACTGTTTATACAGACTGTTTGAAATTTCCCTGTTATCACACTTGTATTTTTTTGTAAAATACTATAAGTGGCTTATTTCTAACTATGTAAAACACAAACCAAGCCAAAATGGAATTAGGAAGTTGTAAAAAATTGTTTTATTCAATGCAGTCAATGTCTTCCTGTATTGACTGTGCTATTTTAATGTAATTACTACATTACAACTTTTTTCATAAATATAATATTAGTTACTTATTTATTATTAAATTAAATATACCTGCTATAGCAATAGAACCTTCCAAAGCATATACAGGTGGTTTATCTGGCCCTAATTTATAACCTACTGTTGTTAGAAGACCATGATTGGACTGAACCATCTAAAAAAAGCGTATATTAGCAATAAAAACACATTCACTAAAATAAACATATTTACAGTTGTTCCAGTATTATATAAAAGAAAACATCCAGTTCCATATGTATTTTTAGCTTGTCCCTGATGAAAACACATCTGGCCAACTAATGCAGCTTGTTGGTCGCCTAATACCTACATAATATGTATGTGCAGGAATATTTTAATATTCATATCTATATTTAAAATGTAAGTATGTTCAGCATAAGACATTTACCCCTGAAATAGGAATGCCTGCTAATGTTGTAACATCTGTAATGTAACCATATATCTCAGATGAGCTTCTAATTTCTGGCAAAATGTGCATTGGAATGTCAAACACTTTACAAAGGTAAGGATCCCATTTCAATGTTTCTATGTTCATTAACATAGTTCTCGATGCATTTGTAACATCAGTTACATGAAGACCCCCATTAATACCGCCCGTGAGATTCTAATAACAGAAAGTTTAAAATAATTCAGTTAATAAATATACATTATAATACCCAAATTAACCATGAATCCACAGTCCCAAAAAAACATCGCCTCTCATCCATTGCTTCCCGTATGCTTTCTACATTATCCATTAACCATCTTATTTTTAAAGCACTAAAGTAAGTACTGATTGGTAATCCACACATACTTTGCAAAAAATTTTTATCTCGTTTACCATTTAGTAAAATAGCGTCTGCTGTACTTGAGGTTCGCATATCCATCCACACTACGAAATAAATTTATTTGAAATGACACCTTACAGAACAAAACAACTTCCTACCTAAGGCATTATATAACGGTTTTCCCGTTTTACAATCCCAGAGAATTGTGGTTTCTCTCTGATTTGTGATACCAGTGGCCACAATGTCTTCATAATTTATGTTAAGTTTTTTTAAATTATCACATGTCACATTAATAGTTTCAATAACTGAATTCAAAATTAACATGGGATCTTGTTCGAACCATCCTTCCTTGGGAGTGATGTGAGGTATTTTAATCTGGTGGTAAGTTAATACTTCAGCAGTCTTTGATGCAAATACCTAAAAAATAAAACTGATCAGTAAAACGCTAAGTCATTTTGATTTTAAACAAACTAAAAATCTTGTACTCGATGTTCCTTCATCAATGGATCCAATTAATGGCCCATATTTATCTCTAGTGTCTGACATAATTCTGTTATTATGTGCATTCAACACATCTTGATAAAAATTTAAACAAGAGTGTCCCTATCCGACGTTCTAACCTGTTCTAATCCTATTTCTAACCTTCACACAACACCGGGTTCTTGACAGATGACATAATGATTCTGACAGCTGTCATCATTTTCTAGCGCGCCAAAACACCAAGTTCCATACCGCCGAAGGGAAACCGGGACACCCCAGCAATGATCCGACTTGGATTGTCCAACCTCTTCAAATAATGAATTATTAATTTATAATCGAGTCGATTATTTGAACATATACGACACTGAGTTTACTCATAACTTTATTAAGTAACGGAATAACACTATAACCGTTCAAATTATATTTTGCTCAGTCCCGAAAGTACTTTTTTGAAAAAAAAAAATGTGATTTTCACTTTGGAACATCACATTAATTTATTTTGTATCTAACAATATTAAAATAGTATATTATCGAACCAGTTTCCGTCAAAGAACTTAATAATAAGAGTGATGGCATCTGAGAACAGATGGCGAATTTAGATAACCGCTTTATTATTATTAGCTTATGAATCAGATTTTTTTACAAGTGATTACTATAAATAGGTATTTTTGAAATAAATTTTTTATTGTTATGTCGTATGTAATAATAATAAGGAATGAGCTTTTTTATACATCCTCAACGTAAGCTCATGAAGTATTGTAGTAGGTTTTATCCGGCGAATAGACACTTTCATGTTTTTTCGACGTTTCATGAGTGCGAAAAAATATGTATTCAATTTTCGTTTGTCTGTTTGTCGCCATCTGTGTCGAGTTTTATTGCACAGATATTCTGCGAAACTACAGAACTCATTGTTGTCAAAGGTTATACATTTGTTGTAGATGGTAAAACGTTAACAAAACTTTGTCTAATCATCCCCACCAACAATATGATGATGTCGCCTGAAAATTGTGCATAGTACATGTTATTTACATTTTATAAAATAACATACTCCTACACACTGATTTACGAATCTGTCTTGAGTTTTTACCCTAGAAGTTCAGATTTTTGGAAAAAAAATAAAAATTGTGTAACAACATTTTACAGTGTAACTTTGAAACTACAAAATCAAATATTGCAAATCTTTTAAGGTATCGTAAGCATGGTGAATTTTTGATCAAAATATAGCTGTTTATCCCCCTTCCCAATTGATGGCGTCATCTCACAAGAATTATATTTAAAATCTTATGATTATAATATAAGAAAAAGTGACCAAATTTTAGAAATTTTAATAAGATCATCAAAGTTATAAAACTTTATTACAAAATTTTAGCTTGCACATTTAGAAAATCAGAGTCCAAGAATATTCTTAAGGCGTTAAAAAATTAAATAACGCATTTCATTGTGTGGGGAAATTTTTTGAAAATAATTTTAATCATATTGTTTCTTTTAATAATGAAAATATGTAACAAGAATGGTTTGTTTAAATAAAAATTTCAAATTTTGTTAATCCTGGTTTCATTCTTTTTTGCTTTTGATTTTGTTAGAATCTCGTATAATTGACGAGTGTAATAATAATTTTGTATTTATGGCACAAATAAAGATTGTTATTATTATTATTTCTTTAAACAGTAGCACTAACTTTTGGTGTAACGATAAGAAGATTATTAATTTTAATGTGAACAATAATATAACACGAAACAACATTTCGATGTTACACATATTATCTAAGTTAAAGGGGATACCGTAAAAATATCGGTTCATAATTTAAATTTCATTGGACATCTTGTATAAACAAATGTAAATAATGAGTATAGTTATTATGAAATGCAAGTAATAGTAATCCTTTTCAGAGTGTGTTTTTGAATATACAGTTATTTAATTTTTTAACGGCATCATCATTTTTTCTTTAACCATTAGATCCATGTTTACACGTGTGTTAACAAAATTTCCAACAAGTGTTTTAGGTACTTTTTTAGCTACTTTGTAAAACTTGATTTACGGTTTCTTAGGACAACATGTGTGAATGATGTTAAAATATAAATAACAAGTACCTAGAAATGAATGTGATGTTACACTGCTCAATAGTTGAGATTATTATCAAACATAGTTTTAAGATTACACGTGAACTTTTTGGAAAGAGCAAATACACAAATTTTTGTTGTTAATATTTTAACATCTAAATGATAAAAGATACACCTGAAATTACTGAATAATCAGTTTCTTTACTTTTTTTACCTATCTATTCAAAAATTTGTTAGTAACCTATCCATTAAAAAAAAACTTAGTAGTCATTTAATAGAAATTCACTCACCCCTAAAGCACATAGTAAAGATTAATTTATTAATTTTTCCTGAGGCTGCGCATTTTAATTTTAGGACGTTCTTTTGTTCTACGAATTCCAGGAAATTAAATGAAGTGCACTCAGTAAGTTCTTCGATGAACGATAAAATTTGATTCTGGATTTCTTTTAGGGTACCCTATATGTTAAAATATAAAATATGGTCGAATTATTAAATTACAGGTAACGCAGCATGATATACTGTGTGTTTTCTTAACAAAATCTCGTGACGATTTTTAGTACATAGGTAAAAATATGTTAACTTTTATACATACAGAGTTTAACATTAATAATAATAACGATACTGTATTTACTGAATTCCTAGGTTTAATAAAAAAATAAATTGCTTCCTTAATTAACTTTTTAAGAAGAATGTATAAACAGTTCTAGAAAATAAGAGTGGATTAAGAAATTTTCACCCACGTATACTTACATAAAAATGCTCTTTGGTAAATTTCAAATTGTACAATTTTGATCTTTTTCCTAAAAAGCTAAATTTACTCGTAAGATTAAAATTAAAGGTGTATTAATAAAATATATGTAAGTATAGAAGCATATTATTTTGCATATTTTATACCTATCACTATTGAAAAATTCGTTTTTTGCTTTTATTTCTTGAGATACAATACGCAGGATGTTAAAATATACGATAGCTTAAAATTATTTATCTATCGATTCTCTCGAAACAAATCATCTTATTTTGTTAGGGAGAGAATGATTACTATTACATTAATCAACACATTAAAACTGATATACTTATTCTCTTCATAAAAACTAACATATTTATTTCGATAATAAAAATTGACGATGTGATCTCAAAAAAATCATATTTTATTACTTATTACAGACAAAGGAATGGGATATAAATATCAGGAGAGATTTATTTAGCAAACGTTTGAGACACGTCATCAAATTTTTGGTAAGAATAAATAGACAAATTTATGGTTACCATATTAGCATCTCCGAGATAATGGTCATCGGGCGAACAGCATATAGTTAGTTTGTAAACGAGTCATCCTTGGAAAGGATTTAATATGTCGATGATTGAAGCACACTGATCAATGTCAAAAAAGGTAAAGTAAAAATGGCGGACACTTTTTAATAAGATTTTTAATAAAATAAGTGTGAAATTACAAGGAAAATTGGTACAAGATTAATTAATTTTATTGAATAAATGCAATTAAATTACACTAAATGTGGAAAATTTTGCCCATTTTGTTTTAATGTTTATGCCGTTAATTTCTTTTGTTATTCTCAACCTTAATTCCTCCAGATTATGGTCAAGTGTTCTTCAAATAGGGCGACAAAAAAGTCTGCAAGAGTAGAATCACAAAGTCTCGGAGGCCCGAGATTATTTGTATTCCGGTTGTTAAAAAAACTTATGTAAAATTGCTAAATACTGCGGTTCTAAATGAATGCGCTGTAGCCTCGTCTTGTTGAAAATAATCTACTTACATTTCATCGTCGTAAAGTTGGGATATAAAATCTGCCAAAATATCTTCCTGATATTTTGATAGCAGATGTTAAACCTTACCTTATAAATGCCTACGCCAGTTAATCACAAGACTATTATTGACAAGATTACCTTCAAAGAATTATGACTGTGTTAATTGGGACTTGCTACCTATAAACCTATAAGTACTATGGAGTTCGTGGTACTCCACTATCACTAATAAAATCTTATCTTGCGAATAGTGTCCCAGAGAACAGTGTTCTTGGGCATTGACTGATCATTAGGTAGGTAAACGATCTGTTTTTACCTGTTACTCGATAAAATATTAAAGTCTAGAACAGAAAGCTATTCACTTAGACAAAAAGCTCTGGATTAGTTTTTAGCAGACAAACCTAAATCACACAATGATAAATCGCAAAAAATTGTGATTGACATAAATCTGCAATAGGCATGTTGAGATAATATAGTAGATTGGGAACTGATCCATTTTTGTTTAGAAAACCACAGTCACTACTAATCTGTGAAGTTCTTTCACACTTTGGAATGTTCCATGCGCACTTAACGTATGTCGAAGTGTTGTGGTGTAACTCCTGCGCCGCCCACAAAATTTTTTTACTTCAAAAGAAAGTTATCCGAAACGTGCCTGGAGCCAAAGCTATAGGGATTCATGTCGACCATTGTTTATTAAATTAAAAATCTCTTCCACTAACGTAACACGCGCAACAAACATTTAACCAAACACCCAAGTACAAATTACCATGCTCTGTTACTAATTGTAATAATATTCCATTATACGAGTACATATAATATATGTATTACCTCAGTCTGACTAACCAAAATGAATCATGGAATTTTAATCTAGGATAAAAAATGTAGTTATCAGGACTCCTGTTTATTCCGCCGAAGAATTAGTTACTCTGGCTAAGAATGTTTTTTGTTTAGCCGTCCATAGTTACTATCGGACTCCTGATGTCTTAAGCCGGAATTCCACTGAGGCAACATGTAGCATGCGTCAGTGCCGCAGGCTACACACAGTCTTTCCATTGAAGGAACACACAGCTACATTAATTGAAATTTTGTGCCACATTGTCGCACGCCTACGACAGGTAATAACACTAGGCAACAAGTATCAAGCAACATATCGTTCACTGATGCCTCAGTGGAATTCCGGCTTTGACCGTTTGTTGTTTTTTTTTATCGACTGATAACAAACATGAACAAATACTATTAATATTATTGTTATTATTATTTTGAGAATTAATGTAACCACTCAAATGAAAGCAGGTTTCGTCTGTAAAAAAGATTTTCTTCAATAGCCAGCCATCAAATACGTCCGTAAACCAACCACTAACAATAGCCAACATTTGCAGCTTTAATTCTTGCACACCTACTCGATAAGACGATAAGGAAACAGTGCTAAATATTTTCGCAATGTTGCTGGGCAAGTTCCATACGATAGTTCCATTTGCTATTATTTACCGGACTAACATCTTCCATATTTTCGATATAAGTTGCAAAAACGAGCATAGTCGACGATGACGATGTTGAAAAAAAAAAATTCCAAGGATTACTGGATACAAATTATGTTGCTTGCCCAATACAATAAAATTTCTCAATATACATTCTCTCTCAAAAAATCAACAGACAAAAAATAAAAGGCAGACAAATGCGAGAGACAGGTTTGTTATATTTTACAAGCTATGACACGTCCAGAAAACATGGAACGAAGCATTTGTGGAAATAACTTACAATACTTCCTTAGCTTACACTTGGGAAGTAAAATTAATACCACAATTAAGAATTCCCAGTATTTGTTGCACTCAGAAGTAACGGAAGTTTTTGTAAATAACTTTACACATTTTTTTGTCATGATTCTGAAAATTTAGATTCCCCTTTCAGTTTTCAGGTCTTATTTAACTCGGAAAACTGACTAGATCATTGTTAGTATAAAATTTGTAACGTAATAATTAACTCTCAATTGATTTATTTTGGATGCCCGGCACCTCCGCCATTAATTATTTTATTGACTATGTTTTAAATAAATAAGTATCTTACAGGTTTAAATGTTATTCATTGGCACTGCACATTAAAAGTGAAGAATATTCAGAAAGTTGTATTTAATCATTAAATAATTTAATAATATGCTGATATTGGTTGTTAGAAGTAACCTAAATTATTACTTTAATAAATTTTTATATTATGTATATATGTATTTGACAACTATTAGTAAGCCCTTATTTTAACAAACTGTGAAACATTATAAATGATTACAAACATGGTATTATTTTTTTGTCGCTACACAATATCAATTAATTTTAAAAAAGATAACTTTTTCAAGACAAGTATTTCTTTCATTGAGAATTCTTCGAATAAATTAAATTCAGGAACCAGTATTTTATTATTTTGTTGTATCTCCTTATCTCGCTGGTTAGACTAAACAGTAGTTTCAAATATGTTGCAAAATTTTGTCGCAATTTTTCAATTGCAATACAGGTTAAATTCATCATCCAATAATTTGTTTACACGTTTTAAATCCAGTGGAATTAAAAAATAAAATAAACTGAAACAACAATCTATTAACGCGATGCTTAATCTCGTATAATTTAATCTAAATTTCTGATTAAATAACTCCTGCCAGTTGCCTTCGCAGCATCCCGGCAGATGTCCCTAGTTTGTCTCATCTCATTTCTAATGTGACTGCCAAGTTATCACACAACGGAGGGAAAATCGATAAAACATCTCTGTCTCCGTCTTGTAAATTTAAATGTATATACCCATCTCGTAGAAAATTTGGCTAACGCACAGACGTCGAGATGGGTTGTACCAAGATATTTTTACGTATATCAGCCTAATGATTGCAATTTTAAAATTAAAGACACCGCCAACGAGTATACACCGTAACACAAGTGCGTGCATAGTGTTGACAGTGAAAGAGCAACATATTATTTAAGAAAAAACAACATTTTTAAAATGTGGTGTATTCGTATGGCGTAATACTCAGTCAAGGTATCTAACACTTTTTAATTTTCACTTTAAATATTGGTGTTGAAAACATTGTTCGCGCTCTTATTACTACTTGGTAATTGATTTTTTTATGTTTTGTTTTTCACGGCGTTTTTCATTTTCCTCCTTACGCCATAAAGTACAAGTATTAAATATGTCGTGATGCTCTTTAGTAGTGTGACGGAAAAATCTTATTTACTATGTGTGTAATAGTTGCGACTGAAGCAATTATTAAAATTATCCTGTGCAACAACCTTATTTTCCCCCCGACTTTTGGACTAAATCCAAAAAATATGTTTGAAATATTAGTATAACTGAGATTTGTGGGAGTTAAAATTAATTCTCAATATGGCTTTCAGGTCTTTTTTTAAACAAATTAATTAAGGAAATGACTTTCGTAAAACATATACTAAAAAGATATTTATCAATAAGAAGTGTATAAAACAAAAAAATGGCTGTTACTAGTAGAATGCTCTTTGCGTTACTATTTTTACTTCAAAACAAAACAAACGGATGCAAGAGTTTAGTAGACTCGAACTCGAACATCGAATACAAAGAATTATCTCGATTACAGCCAACCCAGACTCCACACAATAGATTAGATGTTAGTTTAACAAAAAATGGTGCTGAAACAATAAGAAAACATGGCACTGATTTAGATATAAAATCAATCAAACGTCCAAATTTTAGCAATATAGAACAACAAATAAAAGACATATTCGAAGATTCTTATTATGAATCCACCCAGCGACACAAAAGAAAAGCTCCAGACAGAAGCCTGTTCAGTCTTTCCAAAAGACTGAATGAAGAGAAGAAGAAAGAAGAACTGATGGCTGCGGATGCCAATCCGAGGCTAGAACCCAATTATACAGGAACACCAAAAAGAATACAAGACGATTCTCATTTTGGTGGTATTAACACCGAACAACTTTATAACAAAAAGAATGACAAAATTCGGCTGTTGCATCTGCAGCATAAGGAGGAGAAGCAAAAGGAGGCTGAACCCTTAGATACTGATTGTGATTTCGAAAGTAACTGTGCCTGGACATGGAGAAAAGACATAGCCAATGGCTTTTTCGTTGCATCGGGAGACAAGTTTGCCGAAAATGACACCGGACCCAGGGTTGATGCAAGTGCTAACAAATTTGGTAAGTTTTTGATGTTGTGTTCTGTACAAAAATGATCACGTGCAATGTGTAGCTTTTTTTAGTTACTATTATATGTTTTACTATTATGGTATTAGGTACAAGCAATTTTATAGATCAAATTATTACATTTATAACAATAATAATAATTAACACATAGTCAATCTGAGGATATAATTTAACTTCAAAATAAAATTTTCAAATTGGCAGCTGTTCTCTCGTACTCATTAACAAGATACAATGTTGATATTGTAGATTCATCTTTCACACATGTAAACAATCGATGAAATAAATCCAATATTTCAAAAAGTAATAACTTTTTACAATGATTATCACGTTTTTTTAACTATATCGGCTACTTCTTTGTGACGTCGTTTATCTTTTTTTTTTTAATAAATAACTTAATTTTACTGAATTTTTGACTTTCGATATTTTCGAACAATTTTCTAATAAAATAATACCATATACCATTATCTTTAGTGCCACTTTAGCTAGTCATATTTTTACATTATATTCATAAAATTATTTATGCCAGTGAAATTTAACAAGCAATTTAAAGACTAAAATGCCAATCATTTTTGTATTGTCATTTTCAATCGTCATTTGAAATATTCAGTTAAATTATATAAACGTGTAAATATTTAGAGAGCTATTGGAGTTATTATAGAAATGTATTAAATGTACTTTTACAAGAACAATTTCGGAGAGTGTTAGGTATATACGTAATATGTATATATACAGAGTGAGTCACTAAACGTACGCTCCTCGATATCTCGTTAATTATTAAAAATAAAAAATATCACAATGTTGTACGCCTCTTTAAGCAGCACAAACTACAAAATTACTTTCAGCTATACAGAGTGTTTTATTTTTGAATTGCAACATATACATAAAACTTGTTTTTTTAAATACAGTCACGGCTGTGTTTTTACCTGAGTTAAATGGCATCTTAGGCGAGATAAACATATTTTATTTTTTTATTTATTTAATTCCCTTGCGACGGTGTCAAATTATTCGAATTTCCTTAAATTTTTTTTATTAAAATAATATTAGGTACATAACTTTACGGTTAGCTACAAAAAGGTGTCCTCAATAAAATTGAGCCTTATTGTACAATTTGTTTATAAAAACAAACTGAAATATTAGGTATAACCTTAAAACATCCTGTATTTTATTCTTGCATTTACTATATGTTATTTAGTACTTTCTAACCTTAAGTTAATACTTTTCACTTTTTTAACACACTCCTCAAAATCTAATCCTGTTTTTCATGCAACCAACTGTATCTTAGATGTTAGTACTTACTGGATTATACTGGATTTCATTCACCTTCACCCAGAACATAAGCCATGTCAATTGAACCTTCCTGACTAAATCTCATTTTGACACTTCAGATGTTTCTAAGCGCCGCAAATACAAATCTTCTCATAATTATAATGACATTTAATATTGTTTATTTGTCGTGGTTTTCAAATCACAGCATCTCCAATAAGCAAAATTCTTGAGATTTGCTGTGTCTGTTAAAAGAGTTGAACTTGAAAAGCGAATTTAACTTTGTTTATCTTTATTAATTAACGACATATTGAGCAGTAGGATTTAGTGACCCACCTTATGTGTAATACATATTTGTAAACATATATTCTTCCAATTAAAAAATAAAAAATGCAGATAATGTTATGCCTGAAACCTCAAAAGTTAAAGACATTTCAAACAAATATAAATTTAAAAAAGGAAATTTAAGACGATTACTGAACTGTTCCAGCATTTTTTATGTTATTAGTTTTTAAATTCTTGTATTTATTTTGTAACGCCACACAACATAACAAGAGCCCTGAATTTTTTCTCTAACTTTTGTTATTGAAGTAATTGGCTGGTAGCACGTGTTTATATATATAATAATGTATCGCAATATAACTAGATACAAGTTCATCTACCTGCGAAGAAACTATGTAACAAAAACATGTGATATGATCGGCAGTTCAGTTGTTTAAAATTTAAAACATGAAATATTCAAATCAGCTGAATTTTGAAAAAAATTGATGAGGTCATACATCAAGAATGAACAAAAATCCTGATTCTTCGTGTGATGTGGCCCAAGTTTTTTTCGGAAAAATGTTTTTTTACAAAATAACAAACTATTAAAAAACATTTTTATATTTTTGTGATCCGATTTTTTTCTTCTTTTAAAATATAAGAACTAAGATATTTTTTATAAATATTTATAACTTATTTGCCGATAAAAAAAAATTAAAAAATTTCAAATTTGATCCTATAGAACGTACTTCGTTTAAGAATTAAATGAATCTGTTCAGAGGTCTTTGTGAAATTTCATTTTTGATTGTCATCAGAAAATTTATCTCATACTGTATGGGTACACTCCATAAGTAACCACTGTCATCATGCAGTGGTGTTTTTCGTTTTCCCGCCGAAAAGTGTGTGGAATAAGGTAAGTGATTTTTCATCTGAAGTAAAAATTTGTAAGTATATTTATTACTGCGTGACAGTAATATTTTCTGGAACTAAATATGACCAGATGAAGAAATTCTACCACCGATTTAAAATGTTTTGAGTTGAACTGAAAATAAAATAAAGTATTAACGTTTATTGGATAATAAAATCACACAAATCGTTCTCATAGTTTGTATGTATAACAATTTGAATTTACTGCGATATGTATTACCTTGATTAACTATTTCATACGAGACATTATCAAAACACTAAAACGAAAAATATTTGTACAAATAATTACATATTAAAAATGCAAACTTAATTAGAAAATTAAATTCAGTGAATAATTTTATTGTAGATATACTTACGATGCATACAAGTGTTTCACGTTTTATTTAATTTAAGACTTCCGTCTTGCTAGACGTTAAAAGTTAGTGTTTATAAAAGCGTTCAATTTATTTAACATTAACACTCTCTAAATAAATTTATCCACTTTGCACAACCGCAAAGATTTGTGTTACATAGTCAAAATACAATATTGTGGAGGGAAAACAGATGTGAGTAGATATAATATAAGTAAAAGAGAAATACTAAAAAACAGCGAGAAAACAGTTAAATAGTATTTAACGGAAACATTCATCACTCCGTGTAAATAAAGCGCTTTTTTTGATACGTATACCGGAGGCATGGGTTATAAGGTTATGAAATCTCTTCTCTGCGTAGTATGTACAATATATCCACAATATTCCACAGAGTCCCCGGATTAAGTTTACAAAAGGTAAAAAAATATTTGTTCTTTTGATACTTAATAGGAGTATAGCTTATTTTGCAAAGTAAGTATAAACACGTATTTAAAGAAACAACAAAAACATTTTTTTTTATTAAAATCTGGACAAAAATTCAATTATTTTAAAAAATCTGCATTGTTTAAAAGTTTTTGTAGGTGAAAGAAATAGATATCAACTTGTTGTTTGTTTTAAGTAAAGCCAAAATTTGTATGGGTTTTACTTTTTTCTGTAAAATCACAAAAAAAAATCCTCTTGTAAACTCAGTCCGGGGGCATACTGTATATATACATCGAGGGAAATTCAGACAATTCGGTAAAAAAATTAATAAGTAGACGGGTTTTTACACTAAGAAATAAATTTGTTTTATAAGTAACACTTATTTTTGTAGCATAGGTATGTTTTAAACGAGATCAAAACTGAATATCATTGTGTAACAGTTTGAGTAACTAAATAGAACCGATGCTAAAAATGAGAAAGTAAAATATTTAGATATATCTACATTAAAAAATTTGTCTAAGATCATTTAGGTAGATTTTCCCTCTCCCCTGAACTACAGTTCAACATATCCAGGTTCTTCGAAATATTATAAAATTTTATTTTACGTAATTTAATTTATTTTGTGATAATAATCAATATAACTTAAAAAAATATAGATAATGCCATCACATTGTAAGAAGAAAAAAAATGACCCATGAGAACATCGAACCACCAATGTGTTTCGCATTATTAGTCGGCACGCTTAGCACTACGTTTGCCATGATGTCATCAAATTATTGGTGAGGATTATTAAATAAATTCTAGTTAGCATTTCCCCTTGTACAAGATATTCCTAAAATTTGACAATTTGATTATCTATTAATAAAAATCGACACCGACGACAGACAGACGGAAAAAGAGATCTATATTTTTGTACTTTCGAGATCATGAAACGTTGAGAAAATATGAAAACGGCCATTCGCTGGATAGATTCTATTATAATATTTCGTTAGCTTAGGATCAGAAAGTAAAAATACTTTGAAATTTTGACAAATCCGGTTTAAGAGTTTTAAAGCTGACATCGATATTTTTAAAAAATTGTGCAAGTAAAAAAAATGAAACGTGTATTTGATATATGCACTTGTTATCATAAAAAAATAATTCCTTAAAAAACTCCGTAATGTTTCAAGTCAAAGTAGTACATGTTTTGTTTTTTAAAAATTTATTTCCATTAATTTTTGGAGATCCATTCTATCCAAGTTTTTATTTAATTTGGGATAGTTGTCCCCCTCTTGAACGTCTGGACTGTATCATTGGGAGACTGAATGGTTATAGTTACGACATATTTCGACTTTGTTTAACGTCATCATCAGGTTATGTTTAACAAACTAGTAACATGGATATTAAAACTTAAGAGAATACAATGATAAAATTCACATGTCCGAGATTAATTGAAAATGGTGTAAATTTTATATATTTTTTCCCTTTTCTCTCTTTTGGAGAGAAAAATATCTTTATTAAATTGCCATGTTACGTTTAAAACACTCAGTTATAAGTTACGTTATATTGTAAGTTAAATGAAGCCTTCCAGATGAGTTTATCGCCTGATACATTGTAGAAATCCTGTCAAAATCAGTAGATTCAGGAGTCCTCTGCATACAACACGGTCCGATTTGACCACATCTGCAAGCCCCACTCTATCATACACAATACATATTTATCTAAATCAATGTCTAAGATAAGTAAAGTTCAACAATCCCCCACTTAACCGCCCACTATTTACATCGTTTT